GCCCAGCTCCAGGTTGAGCTGTTGTTCAGCATCTTAGCTGTAGAGGGCAGTGTCACTGCCCCTCATATGTGGGATCCGAACTGGGGCCCTCTGGCATCCCAAGCCAGCTCTTAATCAACGTGCCACTCGGCTGGTCAAACATATTTTATACGTCTCAATCCCATTTCTACCTACAGCCTGATGTATATATTTCTTTGGTGGCTTGTCATACAACTCATTAAATCTCCTCTAGTATATAATAAAGTTGAAGTGAATAGTATGGATCAAACAGTGAGGACCCCACTCATAGCAGGTGGTTGCTACCCATCTGTCCATGGGCCCCAGCACTGCCCCTAACTAGTCACAGTGAATTCCCTGTAACAAAGCCAGGCCTCCCTTTAGACTGTGCCTAGGAAGTGTCTGCCTTTGGCCTGGCCTTGCTAAGCCTGCCTTCTCTCCTGTCTCTGGTACAGTGTACACGATTGGGCTCTCACCTGAACATGCTGCTAGGCCAGTATCAACAGTTCCAGAGCAGCACCGACAGCCTACAGGCCTGGATGCAGGCTTGTGAGGCCAAGGTGAAGAAGCTCCTCTCAGATACGGTTGCCTCTGACCCCGGGGTCCTGCAACAGCAGCTTGCAACAACAAAGGTAAGCCAGGACACAGGCTGTTGAAGTGCATTGCTTTTCGAGTACACCAAAGCAAAGCAAATACTGGCATAGGTTAAAGCCAGTGGTTGGGATGCCTTGGAGAAGATCTGATTCCTAAATACCTTATTCTGATATCTGTGGCTGTGGATAAGCTGAGAATTATTCTGTAAAGCTACTTAGTAGCTCCGGATCCGTAGAACCAGCATTGATTACTCACTCAGATATTTTTCTTTTGTCCTTTTTTATGGACAAGTAGCAGTTGCAGGAAGAATTGGCTGAGCACCAAGTACCTGTAGAAAAACTCCAAAAAGTGGTTCATGACCTCATGGAAATTGAAGGAGAACCAGCCCCAGACCGCAAGCATGTTCAAGAAACTACAGGTATGAAGGAGCAACAAGAATAGTGCTCTCTTAATTCCTAGTATGTATCTCTGTTCTGTAATACATCACACTGTATCATACAAGTATCTGGTGCTAGCTAGGTGCTGAGGAGGTGAACATGAATAGCTCACCCTCTAATGAACTTTATTCTTGCATCATTGAAGGACCTTTGCCATCTGGCTCAATCCCTTTTCCTCAGGCATTCTGCCTTCTAGCCATACACTACTTCTTTCCTTGCTCAAGTAAACTAGTCATTTCTTCATTGCTTTACCCCTGAAGTTTTTCCTATTGCTTAGCTGATAACAGTGAGGGCTTATGAGGAAATCTTGATTGTGCTTCAAGATGTAGCTCAAGAAGTTACTTCCTTTATAAAGTCCTAACCACCACCACCATCCCCTAAAAGAAATAAAGGATAAGAAGTAACCATTCTTCTTTCTGACTTCTCCAGTACAGTACTCTTAGTACCAATACAGGACTTAGGATTTTATTTTCACGGTTAGTTGTGATGTGCCTTCCGCTGCCTATGCTCTCTTTTCGTCTTAAGTTTATAGAAGGCAACTTTATCTTGATTATCTTTAGCCCTCAGCATCTAGAACAGACATGTTCCTGATGACAGAAATTTCTGGCATTTAGTAGGTACTCAATAAATAACACCTATTGAATTTGGCTCAAATGCTAATGCATTTAAGCTTATTCCTTCTATTGGTCTTGATGTCTGTTGTTATAATTAACATGTGCAATTTAAATATGTTCTTTTTAAAAGCACAACACAAAAATAGTCTCTACTTTTTCTTCTCATGGCTTTGATTTTCCAGATTCCATACTTAGCCATTTCCAAAGCCTCTCCTGTAGACTGGCTGAGCGCTCTGCTCTGCTGCAGAAGGCAATTGCCCAATCTCAGAGTGTCCAGGAAAGCTTGGAGAGCTTGTTGCAGTCCATCAAGGAAGTTGAAAAAAACCTGGAAGAGGAGCAGGTGGCATCGCTGTCATCGGGCGTGATCCAAGAAGCCCTGGCCACTAACATGGTGAGACCTCTACCCCAAGGGTTCCCATAAAAGATGTATTTGCCATGTTCCATAACTGCATCATTTTGAAAAAGTGTCGAAGAATTCAGTTTCATGAATCTTCTAATGAGACTTAGAGATGATGACTAATCCATGCGTGTGAGGATATTTCTACCCAATTTCTAAGTCCCTGTTAAACGTGAACAGTAGCAATAGCCAAGTCATTTGGTGGAGTGGGTTAGAGAACCAAGGGGATGAGATGTATGGTATCCTGAAGGCTCAGTTGCAATCCACCAGCCCTCCTGGAGGAGGTGAGCATGCAGTTATTAGAAGTTTATTAGTGTGTGGCTCAGGTATCCTAGAATAAGTGATCCAGAAACTGACAGACGTGTTCTTGATGACAGAAACTAAAGCAGGACATCGCTCTGCAGAAGAGCAGCTTGGAGGCCACCCGTGAGATGGTGACCCGATTCATGGAGACAGCAGACAGCAGCACAGCAGCAGTGCTGCAGGGCAAACTGGCAGAGGTGAGCCAGCGCTTCCAACAGCTCTGTCTACAGCAGCAGGAGAAGGAGAGCTCTCTAAAGAAGCTGCTGCCCCAGGCAGAGATGTTCGAACATCTCTCTGATAAGCTGCAGCAGTTCATGGAAAACAAAAGCCGGATGCTGGCCTCTGGGAACCAGCCAGATCAAGACATTGCACATTTCTTCCAGCAGATCCAGGTGAGGACGTAGCTGCCAAATGGACAGAATAAGGGATGAGGGAAAGGCAGGGCAGGAGGGGACCAACATCTACTGAGCACATAATATGGTAGTCAGTGTACTGGAAACTTGACCTGCATTATCTTAAAGAATTATCACAACCATCCTGTAAACTAGACACTGTCCGTTTTTTAAAAACATAGCTTAGATGTAATCTCCACTCATATGACATGTTCAGCCCGGATCAGCAGGATGCTTAGTTCATCATGGTCACTCAGGGATTCAAGCTGATAGAAATTTCATCCTGACAAAGCTTTCATGATTATTGCTTCAGTGGGAAGAGAGGATATCATGTGCATTTACCTTTCATTAGTCAAAGTAAGTTTCACTGAATCACACCTGACTATAGTGAAGCATAATCAATCCTACCATGTACCTAGAAGGTGCAGAGCTAGAAATACTTGGTGAAGAGTACTACCTACCACAGCCATATATGGATATCCAGGAGTAGAACTGCTGGGTCATAGTATGTGCATGTACTTCGTGTGACCCAGGAGTGGCCAACTTGAGCTCTGGAATGGCTGCACCATTCTGTTTCGCTGGTCTATCTATTCATATACCACAGCATACTATTTTTACTTATAGAAGGTTTATGGTATGTTTTAATATCTGGTAGGGCTAGTCTCCTCAATTATTCTTTTTTCCCTTTTAAGATTTTTCATAGCTATAATTGCACATTTATTTTTCCATATGAACCTCGGAATCAACTTTGTCCTAGAGAAAAAAGTTGGTCTTTTTTATTTGGGTCGCATCAAATTTACCTATTCATACACGCATGCGCACATACATACACACATTTTTATGGCTTTCCATGTACTCAGGTCTGCTTTTGTGTCTTTCAGAAGTGTTTTAAAGTTTTATTCATAAAGGTATTATATGTTTCCTGTTAGTTGATTCCTAAAACTATACCTATCATACTGCTATTGCGAATAAAGTTTTCACTGTTGTTTTTATATGTTGGTTTTATGTCTTGCTACCTTATTAAATTACTTCATTGTTCGATTTAGTTGCATTGTTGATTCTCTTGGGTTTTGTAAATATACTTTCATGTAATCTGAAAATATACTGTTACCTTTTTTCAAATTTTTATGACACATTGTTTTCTCATACCTAATATCTTCAATACAGTGTTAAATAATAGTGGAGAGAGTGTGTTTGCCTGTTTTTACAGGAGAAGAGGTAGACTATAGAAGCTTAGAGAAGTTTAATAGCTTAAGATCACAGCTAGTAAGTGGCAAAGCCATGATTGCATTTCAGGTCTTTTGACTGCAAAAACCTCTGTTATTCTTTTCATTCTGTGATGCTGCCTAGATATCTTTCATCTTTTAGTGTGTGTTTATTTATAAGGACCAGAGGATTTAATACATTTCTTGTTTGCTTAACAGGAGCTCAATCTGGAAATGCAAGACCAACAGGAGAACCTTGATACTCTTGAGCATCTGGTCACTGAACTGAGCTCCTATGGCTTTGCACTGGACCTGTCCCAGCACCAAGACAGGGTACAGAACCTCAAAAAGGACTTCACAGAGTTACAGAAGACAGTGAAAGAAAGGTGAGTTCTCATGTGTTTGTCAGTGTTGGAGCGCTAACTTTTTCTTGCTGTTGAGTGAAATGATTACCTCCTCCTTCTCCTTCATTAGAAAATATGGCATCAGGAACTCTGCTACTGAGACGTAAGGGATTGGAAAGTGCTGTTTCAGCCAAAGCTACCCAAATTACGTGATGCTTAGTGGTTTTTCTATTACTAAATAATAAATTCCTTCTCGGTAATAGGGCTCAGTTCTCTCTCTGTAAAAACCCAGGTTACCTGGACCAAAGAGAACAAATTTGGGGGACCAAGTAGGATTGTGGCAGGATTTGAAATAAAGAGAAAAGTTGGGGGAGATTTCTCAGGCATAATTAAGGCTTACGTTGGCACTTACCCTGTTTGTTTTGACCACATCTAAGTTGCTGTTTTGGAGGAGTGTCTAGATACTTCTTTTAAGACAAACATAGGAATATAGGACAAAGGTGGTTGATTCGAGATTATCAGCTGATTGAAAAGCCATGATTCCTCCATTAGAAAGCCTCACATGGGTTTAAGAGCTTGATAAGACTTTTCTTGATTTAGCCATAAATATAATCTTGATTTAGCAGACATCAGCCTTATCGACTAGAGGAAAGCAGTTGCTCAAACCAGTACTGTAAGCAGCAGGTTATTTAGTGGAGGGTAGAGGGACAGAGGCAAGAAGGCTTTGTTTTTCTTCCCTTATGCTGAGGGCCTTTTAGCTGTATGAGGAACCAGGATCTCTGACTTGAAGTCTGATAGATGTGGCCATTTCTAAAACTGAATTCCAAATTGATTTCTCCTTTCTCCTTGATTTATTTTATTCATCAGTATACTTACCCTAACTTTTCAGAGCCTCACTTTTAGCATCTTTCTTGCTAAAGGAGCTAACGTTTGAACTAGGTCTTGTAAGAGTCAAATACCTAAAAAGTAGCAGAGCTGGACTTGGGATCCAAAGCCTGCATGCTTTCTGTTGTATCATGGTACCTCAGTGGCTGGCTCCCTGTAGTTTCCCTCACTTCCACTTTAGCTGAGAGTCAAATTGAAAGCTCCTTTCCCCAGAAATGTCCAAACAAGGGCAACAGATTCCTTAGTTTGATGTTCTCCTACATTATATGTGGTTGTTGAGCCAAAGCTGCTATGGAAAAGATGATGGGAGAGAAAGGCCCTATTAGGAAACTGATGCCTAGAGACCCAGAAGGAACCTAGTGTTAGTTCAAGTTGACTTCTTTACACAGCCTAGTCTGGCAAGTATATAACAAAACGTCTTCATTGACAGAGAGGAAGATGCGTCATCTTGCCAGGAACAACTGGATGAATTCCGGAAGCTGGTTAGGACCTTCCAAAAATGGCTGAAAGAAACTGAAGGGAGTGCTCCACCTGCAGGGACTTTTACGAGTACTGAAGAGCTGGAAAAGCAGATTGAACACCTGAAGGTAGGTGAACAAAAAGATCTCTAGACAGCAGTTTAGAAGCATGTATAGACTTATCTCCAACTATGGTGGGGAAGTGGTAGGAGAAATGCAAGTTGTCATCTGCATCAGAATAGAAATTCCCATCTACCCCTCCCAAGCACTGAGCACCAAAACATCTCCTATTTAAAAAACCAAGATTATCATCATCATCTGGGAATAATGCCTGTAAAGTTTCAGCTGACTTTTGGATGCCTCTCATGCTATGGTGGGGCATAAAAAAGACAGTTGTCAAAGCCCAATCCTTGAGAAGCTTAAACTCTCATTGTATGTTTGAGAATTAGACAAGTATATGTGAGCAAGTAACTAGATTTATGATCACAAAATCAAGGAGATAAGAACTAGTACTATGGCTAATATAGGAAAGTTAGAATCAGATGGTTGGAAGGTACCTTCAGGGTACACCACCTTTTCCCATCCTCTGCAGAATCCCTCTGTACCATCTTTGATTCGTAGTCATCCGGCCTCTGCTTGCACATCCGATACATCCCCTTTTTTTGTTGTTGAAACCAGCCTCCAACTAACTCATGTATTCATCCTTATCATCTTAGTAAAGCAGGATTTATCTTGAGCTGATGAAAGAGAAGAGTTTGATTGTGTTCATACAGAGAGAGTGCCAGGAGCATTTGCTGTAGGGAATTCCCTAGGGCAGAGGTTCCCCAGTTTCTTGGTTCACAGTACCTTTAATGTTTCAAGAAATTTTTCATGGCAGCACAAAGCCAAAAACAAAAATAGAAAACCTCATGTGCTAACGGGTCAGGGCCAAACAACTTAATAGTAGTTGTTCATATGGCATCCCAACAGATGTCGCTGTATTTCCCTCAAAAATATCCTGTGATTCCGTGCATAGTTTGGGAACTGTGGCCCTTTTGAGTCAAGAGTGATTAATACAAGAATTGACAGCTGTGAATTGATAAGGTTCAAAGTTAGGCAGCATGAACTTGCTAGATGTTCATGGCTCTGGGTCTTGCTCTGCCGTTTCAGGTCAAAAGCAAACTATGTGGATTATCAGAGAAATTCAGTGTGGAGAAAGGGATTGAAGGGTAGGATGGCGTCCCTGCTTTAAAGGGAGTAAAATCTCACTGCCGGGCAGGCAGTCCACATCTTAGAGACAGTGTGGCCTGGTGCTTGAGTGTTAGAGCAGATGCCATTGTTTCCTGATGGCTTCCTGTGGAAGCAAGAGCTCTGACTTCAAACCCGATACAAAGTTCCCCTGAAAATGCAAAGTGTGGCCTATGATTCTGGGTATTTCTCTACATCTCGATGTTTAGCTCCTTATTGTATTCTTCAGTGACGATTTCCTTTTATTTTTTTACATGCATGCTGTTCCCTTTGGCCACTAGCAAACTCTTGTCTTAACTCAAAGCTTTCCTCCCTCTAGCCAGAGTTAGATGTGTGTCCTCTCATGCTCTCAGAGTTTACTGACTGTCCATACTTCTGTAATATCATTTATCACATTATAATGCAATTGATAATCTGAATCCTTGGTTTTTGGAACTGTGTCATTATCTTATTTTATATCCCCAGTGTTTAGCATAATGCCTGGCCTATGGTAAATATTGGATGGATGGATGGATGGATGGACGGATGGATGGATAGATGGATGGATGGGAAGGTCCTGATTATGCCAGGGTATCATTCTTCCAAACCTTGTCTGGCTAAGCTAAGATCTTGAAATAGCTGAATATATGAGGATGGTCTTTTTAACTCTTATCAAAACTTTAGGGAGTATATATAGGAAAACAGGTATCCCTACTTATGAGGAGAAAGCTCCCAGATGTTACATTTAGCTGTTTTATTCTTTAAACAGGGTCTCCTAGATGACTGGGCAAGTAAGGGAACTTTGGTAGAAGAAATCAATTGCAAAGGCACTTCTTTAGAAAATCTCATCATGGAGATCACAGCGCCTGATTCCCAAGCCAAAACAGGTGAGTGCAGGCGCTTAAACATATAGTGACTAAACCTCATTCTTTGCTTTGGCTTTTGGTAATGACCGCTTATCTAATAAAAGTCAGAATCAAGGTTGGATACAAGAACAAAGGGGATCCATGAAGCAGTCTTCCCCCTTCAACCTGATTACAGTAGTTTCCATTTGCTATATAACATTGCTCCATTTTGCAGAATTCTTTCCTGTGATGGGAAAAAGTAAAGGGACTAGTTTACCCACTTAGAACTGTCAAACAAACATAAGATTAAAGTAGGGTTTTCTAGCTTGTGGAATATATCTCTTTTATGGCTCTGCATCACCTTTAAATTGGGGTCAGACCGGGATGGTATAAGTGTGGTATCTTGGGAGAGGCTAAATGTTTAGGAGTCAGTATTGGTACACCAGGGACTGGCACATTTCTTGGAAGTGAATACAAAGATTGGACCTAGATACACGAATAATCCCTGGCTGTGAATTAAGTCGTTCAAACAGATCCATTATGAGCCCAGTCACTTGCTGGTGTTAATTGGTATCTCATAGGTTTTATTACCAGTCTATGTTCTTGTATTCCTATAGTCACTTAAACAGTAAAGGAAAAGCTTACTTTCTTTTTCCTCCTGAGACTGGCTACTTTTCTACTGCATCCTAAAGTTTAAAGCTCTCTTGGAACTACGCAGCAGTTCAATATTGAATTGAGTCTAATATTTAATTATTTAAAATATTGACAACATCTCAGGGAGCTGGTGATTCTTATATTCCAACACATAAACCTCTAAGTTCAGTGACTTAGTGTGTGACTACATCAGGAGTTGCCAACTTTTTTTATAAAGGGACAGATAGTAAATATTTTAGGCTTTGGGGCCATGTGGTCTCTGTCACATCTATATGCCTCTGCCATTGTAGCACAAAAGCAACCATAGATAATATATACATGCATGGGTATAGCTGTGTTCCTATAAAACTTTATGTACAGAAATAGACAGAGGGTCAGATTTTGGCTGGTGGGCTATAGCTTTCTGACTGCTGGACTAGATCAGTGGTTTTTCAAATGTTTTAAAGCACTAGAATCTTTTTTCTTTTTAAATTAAATCTCACATAAAACTCTACTACATAAAGCAAAAGTGATATTTTGTTGGCATAGATTTCCCTTTACAAGTTAATTTATAGTATTATGAAATCCATTAATGAAAATGTATGCAAATATTACACCACTTTATACAAGGGACTTCAGACTGTCTTTGTGAATAAAAAAAGACAGCTTCATTATCTGATTTATTTCTAAACTTTGGTTGCATTGTGTCCAGAAATGTTGCAAATGATGAGAAATATTTTTAAAAGTTCACTTTACTATCTCAGAATACTCTTCAATTAAACTGAACTAGAAGTTTGAAAGTGATGTAATAAGAAATTCTTGTTTCAAAGTTAATTCAGCGAGAATATTCAATGAGGGCTCACTTTTTTCTTCTTAAACATAGAAAACACCTAAAACTATCATTGAGGACAAAAACTGTCTATAACCCAACATCATCATACCTAAAATGTTAAGAATTCTTCATTACACAATTCTACCCTGATGAAAGACTGTTCTGAGACGAAGTGCCTCAACCTTTCTTTTTCATAGCCTTATACTTTTTTGACATTTAATGTAATACACATGTGCTATAGATGTTTTTCTTTGTACACGAGTAGACATATGTAAGTTTGAATATTATAAAATGCTAATGAAGAGCTGCAACCTTCCAATTAATAACACTCAAAAAGAACCTTAAATATATGTATAGAGGTAAGGTACTCTTTTATTCTGCCCCAAAAAGCAGCATACAGTTGGGCCTCAGTATTCACATCTGTGATTCATCCAACCGCAGATAGAAAATATTATATTCAGGAAAAAATGTTACATTGTTTCTGCCATGTACTATGTAGTTAGGTCTGTGATGGTTGTATCTATACTGAGTATGTAGACTTTTTAACAATACAGTATAACAACTATTTACATAGCATTTACACTGTATGAGGTGTTATAAGTAATCTAGAGATGATTTAAAGCATACAGGAGGGTGTGGATAGGTTATATGCACATACTATGTACCATTTTATACAAAGGACTTGAGCATCCTTGGATTGTGGTATCTGGGGGGGCTCTAGAACCAGTTCCCTATGGTTACGAAGGGACAACTGTAAATTGGTTATATCTAGTGGGTTAATATGTGGTTGAACATAATTGAATATGCATGTTTTATTGCCATGTCTAAGCAGTTAGAGATATATTCTGAATATTACATTTAAGCCAAACATTACAAAGCCCCTAAAGAGCACCCCTTAGGTACTTTAAAAATCAGTTTGGATTCACCAGCTTGAGTGTTCTCAAAGTTCTGTTCTAACGCTGAAAAACTGTGACTATTCCAGCTCCTTACATTTGTGTAACTTTTTTTCCATAAAGTGCTTTCACATACATTACCTCACTACCTCTCTCCAGTAACCCCATGAGAGTTGACAGGATAGGTAGTATTATCTTCATATCCTAGGGAAGAAACCAAGAACTGTGCATAGATTAAGGCTCTCATACAGAGTTAGTAACGGTCTTGACTAGGACTTAGGACAGCTTTCTCCTAATTACAAGTCGTTTCTTTGGGCTATCACCACACTGTGATGGAATACAATCTTTCTGTTTGATCCATTTTTTAAATTCAAAATATAATAATGTTACCATGTAAAAATTTTGTAACCACTATTTTTAATATAACCTTGCACATGACTTTTTCCACAGGGAAATCAGTGTACACGAGAGTTTTACTCTGTCCTTTTAATGTAATATTATATCATGAATATTCTTCAGATTTCTGTATAATCTTTATTATTATATGAGTTTTTACTTAACTTGGGACCCTCCTCTGAAGTACAAAGAATCAACTTGGGGAGAATATAGATGAAATTGTGGTAATTAGAAATAGAACCAAAGGCTCAAAGCAGAATTCATGGGAATGTTAATGAGCCAGATTTATTGGTGCTTAGAATTTCTGTTTTCTGGTGGAGGAAAGGAAGGAGAAAGTCATGATAGGGAATCTTCCTTTTGAAACAATATAAGAAGGGCTCATTGTAATGATTTTATTAAAAGAATGCTGCTTTTTATGTCCTTGATTACACTTATTGTTAATTTGTATTATGTTGAAGGACATTGACCTTTTTGGCTTTATTATAAACCCTCATTCCAAAGTATGTCAAATAACATTCTAAAAACTTCATCATTTTACCGGTACCTCACAAAATTAGGGCAGGGTCCAAAGAATTCAAGTAGGAGATTTACAAAGGGAATTTGGATTTCCTCTAGAAAGGATTAGGAATCATCACTGCTAAGGAGCTGAAACACCTCGAGTGACACTTCATTGCCTGGCAGCTAAAATGACTTGTCTCTTTCCATGAGTATGTTGTCTTGTGCTGTGTTAACTTCCTGATCTGAGCTTAAAGTGAGTGCCAAAGAATAAAATCAGTGCCTCTATGTATTCCTAACACGTTTGTCTTGCCCTGTTTGTCTCTCTGTCCTTCTGCTCAGGTTCCATACTGCCCTCTGTAGGAAGCTCTGTAGGCAGTGTAAACGGATACCACACCTGCAAAGGTGAGAATTCCATTTCAACAGTGCCTCCTTGTTGGGTGTGTTAGGACAGTGTTCATGTTTGCATCTGTGTATGTTTCCATATGTGTGGAAGAACTGCTGCCAGGATGGGTGTGAGGGCAAAAATCGGGGGAGAAGCAACTGTGATGCTTCTTTGTTTGCTAGCTGTAGGCTAAACAGGTTGGCAGCCAGTGAAATCAAGGTACTAAAGAAATAAACTGGACTACTAGATACGACCAATAAGGAAAGACTATGAATATAATATAATATAATATAATATAATATAATATATATGCAAATCTTTGAATTATAAGAAGCTATACTAGAGGTAGTCTAGCCTAGCCCTCAGTCTCCCAGTTAGGTGATTTCTCTGTAGTTTAGAGAAGAGGGAGCAGGAGAATGCCCGAAACCCTTAACTCCCCTCACTTTTGTTGTTCCCATTTTTATTTAGCATTTTATTTATATATCTGAGTAATAATGCTGAAATCCGAAAATAGATTAATGAGAGCTCTTTTGCTTTGATATGCAAACAGGAACTTCTGTGTGATTTAGCAGGAAGATAATCTCTAATTCACTAGAAGGAGTAGGAGAGATGCTTAATCCTGATGAGTAATTTAGTCATTAGAAACCAAAGGGGTTGCTTGGAGAGAGCTGTTTCCAATCTGATTCCTGTTTCTATGATACCAGATCTGACGGAGATCCAATGTGACATGTCAGATGTAAACTTGAAATATGAGAAACATGGGGGAGTACTTCAGGATCACCAGGAAAACCTTCAGGCTGTCCTCAGCAGAATGCAGGAAGTTCAGAAGGAGGCAAGCTCAGTGCTACAGTGGCTGGAATCGAAAGAGGAAGTCCTAAAAGGCATGGATGCCTCCTCGTCTCCAACTAAGACAGAAACAGTGAGAGCACAAGCTGAGTCTAACAAGGTACTGTGTTTACATGAGCTTTCATCCCAAACACTCAGGGATGGGGCTGCTATGCTAGCGTTTCTCCCTGAGCCCAGGGACCTGAAAATGAGGCCTGGCCAACCACCGAGGCTATGATGAGCAGCATGTTTGACTTTCAAATGATTAATATGCCTAAACTGCCCTAGAGAATTTTTTACCTGTGAAATTAGAAATTGTTATACGTCAGATTCAGAAATAAAACCAGATGTGTCTGCAGCAAGAGAAAAGTCTCGCGCAGAAGCATGAGCTCATTGCGAATGGGATCTCATTTTCTGTATGATGCTGCAAACCTAACCATTCTCATCAAGCACCTTTCCAGCTCTTGGAGGGATGGATCTAAACAGCTGTGATGGCAGTTCATTCTTAAGATCAGCATGTTGGAGTAGGAAAAACAGAAGAAGAAATCAAACCATATAGAAAATCCTATAAAAACTTTTCACCAAAGTTTTTTATACTGCAGTCGTCGAGTATAACACATCATCTCCAACTACATAATAAACATTGCTGTTATCATCATCATCATCATCATTGTATCTTGACACTTAGTTTATACAGATTAATAATTCCTTCTTACTGGGTTCTACTGATGTGTTACACATAAAAGAAATTCAGATCCTGCCATCTAGATTTTCATTTTAAAGTAAAATTTGAAGCAGAAAGGATAAGTGTCTTAAAATCACTAAACAAGTCATGGATAGACTCAGAAGTAGAGCCTACTTGCCACCCAAGATTCCAGTCATTTCCTTCTTACTCACATCTTTGTTTCCTGACCAGAAATCTCAAGGCTTACATGATGTTCTTTCTCCTAGGCATTCCTGGCTGAATTGGAACAGAATTCTCCAAAAATCCAAAAAGTAAAGGAAGACCTGGCTGGATTGCTGATAACATATCCCAACTCACAGGAAGCAGAAAACTGGAAGAAAATGCAGGAGGAGCTCAGTAAGTTATCACAGAGGTGTTAACAAATTCACCTTGTTTAAATTGCTTATCTTCAAAGCAAATACAGAATTTCAGCACATCATATAAAGTAGGAATTATTTTTAGTTAGTTTTCATAAGCAAGCAAAAGCCCCAGATAGGATTAAAGAGTGAGCTTTATCAAGAAAAAAATTTTAGAGAGTGTCAGAAGTTTGGCTTTCTAGGGCAAGTCAAAGTGACAATCTTCTGTGGTTAAGAACTAAAGAAAGCATTGATGATAAAAATGAAAAGGGACGGAGCCGGCCAAGTGGCTCAGTTGGTTAAGAGCTCACTCAAGAGTGAGAGCTCTGAGCAACAGGGTCACCAGTTCGATTCCCAGCCCGAGCTGAGCTGCCAACAGGTGGCAGAATGACTCAGCTAAAAAAAGAAAGAAAAGAAAAGGGAAAATAATCCAGTCAATGAAGCGATTAGATAAATTATGCTGCGTTCATAATATTGAACTATAAATGATATAGGTGAATATTCACTGGTATGAAAAAAACTTACTGGCACGAAAGATGTTCATAATATAAAAAGTTTAAAAAACAGACTGTAAAATATCTATATAGTATAAGATAGTGTACTTGCACTCGTTTATATGTGTCTGTACAGTTTTATCCCATGTCTAGTTTCATATAACCACCACCACAATCAAGATACAAAACTGTTTGTGTTACTTTAGTTAAAATTAAATGAAGGTTATTTTTAACTTTAAAAAAATATTTAAATAATGATCTAGGGTCCATTTCCTGTGGTTTATTAGGAACATAATTTTGGGACCAGGCCTGTGGCTGATGAGAGTACAGGAATACATTTTCTCATTTCCTCTCTGCAGATTCCCGATGGGAAAGGGCCACGGAGGTGACAATGGCTCGGCAAAGACAGCTAGAGGAATCTGCAAGTCATCTGGCGTGCTTCCAGGCTGCAGAATCCCAGCTCCGGCCCTGGCTGATGGAGAAGGAGCTGATGATGGGAGTGCTGGGGCCCCTGTCTATTGATCCCAATATGCTGAATGCACAAAAGCAGCAGGTCCAGGTGAGCAGTACAGCTGAATGCTTTAGAGCAAAGAAATTGAAGTCACATGAACCTGGGTTTGAATGCTGCTCTCAGAAAGTAGATTTCATATGACCCTGGACAAGTTATTTAACCTCTGAGAGTCTCTAATCCCTATTTTAAATGAGATATTTCTAAGGTGCCTGTCAAATAGTGAACAGTCAATAATTGTATTATTAATATCATTAAAAGAAGCAATAAGATGAATGGGTGTGAAAATGGGAACTTCTGACTAAATGGTAGAATCACATTTTACTTATAATCTCCAGTGGTAGTCATGCACATTACGTAATGCAATATTGTGTATCTTCTGGCTTTACTTAAAGGTTTTCTGCTGATCAAACCTCAAAACATTGATTTAAGTGCCTAACATCATGGAAATTTAGGCTGGCCATATTACGTCATTTCCAATGAAATTCTGCCTAGAACCTTTCTTTGTTCTACATTCTCCCCAAACTTGTTCCATTTCTTCTCACCATTTACCAGGTCCCCTAATTTAAAACCTAAGAGTAGTTTTTGAGGGAACCCTTTCTTTTTTAGCCCCTGCATCCAATTATCAAGTCCTTTTTGTTCTACTTACAGATATTTTTCTAATCCAGTGGTTTTCAAACTTTTTGGTCTGAAAACCATTTTACGCTCTTAAAAATTATTGAAGATCCCAAAGAGCTTGTGTGTATCTATTGATGTCTATTGATATCTCTTGATATTTACTGTATTAAAATGCTGAGGAATTGTTTAAATATATATTAATTTTAAAATAGCAATGATAAGACAGGCTGACTGAGTGGCTCAGTTGGTTAAGAGCTCGCTCAAGAGTGCGAGCTCTGAGCAACAGCAGTTCAAGTCCCGACTGGAGCTGAGCTGCCGCTGAGCTGCCAACAGATAGCAGATGGCTCAGCTAAAAAATAAAATAAAATAAAATAGTAATGATAAAACCACAAAATTAGCCTAAGTAACATTTTTAATGAAAAAAATACATTTGCAATAAAAAATTTAATAATATTGGCATTGTTTTATGTCTTTGCAGACTTCTTTAATATCTAGCTTAACAGAATATTCTCATAGATTTTTATAGCTGCTTCTGCATTCAATCTGTTGTGGTATCAGATGTCTCTGGAAAACTCCACTGAACATTCGTGATAGAACAAGAATTTTAAAAGCAAATAACGTCTTAATATTGGGTTGTCGGAAAAGTCATGACGCATTTTTGCAATGACAAACAAAAAATACGTCATGACTTTTCTGACAGCCCAATATTATTATAAAAATAGTTTTGATCTCATGAACCCAGTGATGAGAACTCCTGGGGGCCTTTGGACCATGATTTGACCACCACTGTTTTAACCTTTCTTCCCTCTTTTCTATTCTAAATGCCTCAGGTAGGCTTAATCTCAGGCCTATACCATTGCTACAGACTCCTAAGGGGCTTCTTTGTCTAGTCTCTCCTCCGCACAATTACCAAATTGTCTCCTTAAATCATATATCTGAATGTGTTAAAATGCTTCATTGACTCTTGACTGCCTATTAAAGTCAAAATACCTACCTGCTCAGTGTGGTGTATAAGACTTTTCACAATCTGGTCCCAGTATGTTTGCCAACCTCGTTGTCAATTCTTCCCCATATCCCCAAGTTTCTACCCACACCAGATACTGTGTCCTTTCCCGAAACCGCCTCACTCATGTAGCCCTGTGCTTTTGCTAATCCTAGGCCTCCCCCTCAACCAGCCTTATTCTCTGCTTAGGGGGAGAACTACATATTCTTTAGGGTGTCATCTGGGAAGCCTTTCCTGACTTCCCTCTTCTACTTTTGTCATCCCCTGGAGAATTAGTCACCTTTACTCCGTGCTTTCATAGTTCCATGTTCACATTGGTGTTTTATCGTTTTTACTTTTGTTAAATTCTACTCTAGTTCATTGTTTACACATCTGGCATTCCTTGAGGTCAAGTCTTAGTTATTTTTGTACAGTGTAAGTGCTGAGTACTTTCCATAAATTTTCTTATTTAATCCTTACAACAGCTAAGCAAGTACATTTTACAGAGGAAGAAGCTGAGATTTGGAGAACTTTTAAAAACTTGCCTAAGTTTTTATACAGCTAGTGAGTGATGGAGTCAGGATTTGAACCCAAGCAGTCTGACTCCAGAACCTATAATCCTAACGTCTTTGATGAGTAAAGCTGTGGATAGAAAAGAATAAAAACGCTTGGTACTTGCTTTAAAGAAGCCCATTACTTAATTGTGCTATATTGTATTGTACAGATTGTATGATGTGGGAATTCTGAAAAAGAAACTAAGAAAAACAGAGATATTGAAAGTTCAGATGGCAAGCCCAGCCAGTGATATAGCTGACTCTGGGATCCAAGATTCCCAATTCAGAGGCTGGGTTTTGCCTGGCAAAGCTGATGTGTCCCAATCCAGAAAATAAACTTTGCTTTCCTAGCCAAGGCTGACCTTAGTAATTGATGTTGAAACAGAGTAAACAAATAAGGAGAAGAAATAAAATAGACACAATCAGTGATCCTTTCAAAACAAGTTTTTATTAAGCAATTGTTATAAATAATACTGTATTTTCCTAATAACCTGGTCTTCAGCGTTTTCTGGTTTATTTTCAAAAGAAGTTGGCACTACTTGGCACAATCCACAGTCAGTGTTGGGCTTTTGTTTCTTTTTTTTAAGATTTTAAATGGGGGAATTGGGGCAGGGGAACAGACAAGTTGCTGTTGTTTTGTTCTTCAGTCTAGTTGTGGAGGACGTTGCTTCACTGGCCCAAGTTGGCACCATCATTGCGCTCTTCCTGGGCGAGGCAGATCAGTCGCCGGCCTCTGGACGGCTGCTCATGGCGGCTGCTGGCCACTCACGCTGGCTGCCGGCTACACACGGTAGCTTATGGCAGCCCACTGCAGCAGGGGACTGCAGCCTACGCCGTTGCCAGTGACCCATGGCAGCCCAGCCCCAGGTTGAGCTGCCGTTCACCATCTTAGCTGCAGAGGGCAGTGTCACTGTCCCTCATGTGTGGGATCTGAACCGGGGCCCTCTGGCATCCCAAGTCAGTTCTTAACCAATGCGCCACTCGGCCGGCCCAGTCAATGTTGTTTTGACACTGTTTTTAGATTTGTCTTTTCTCACTAAGCATCTTGCTGTCATTTCTATTACAGTTTATGCTGAAGGAATTTGAAGCACGGAGGCAACAGCATGAGCAGCTGAACGAGGCGGCTCAGGGCATCCTAACAGGCCATGGAGATGTCTCTCCATCCACCAGCCAAGTACAAAAAGAACTCCAGAGCATCAATCAGAAGTGGATTGAGCTGACAGACAAACTCAATTCCCGTTCCAGCCAAATTGACCAAGCTATTATCAAGAGCACCCAGTACCAGGAACTGCTCCAGGACTTATCTGAGAAGGTGAAGGCGGTTGGACAGCGACTGAGTGGCCAGTCGACCATGAGCACCCAACCTGAAGCCGTGAAGCAGCAATTGGAGGAGACCAGTGAGATTCGATCTGACGTGGAGCAATTAGACCAGGAGATTAAGGAGGCACAGACACTCTGCGATGAACTCTCAGTGCTCATTGGTGAGCAGTACCTCAAGGATGAGCTGAAGAAGCGTTTGGAGACCATTGCTGTGCCTCTCCAAGGTTTAGAAGACCTTGCAGGTGAGTTGGGGTGAGGCTCACCCTCCTGCTGTTATTAGTGGCCAGCCAAAAGGAGTGGATTAGTGGGAGTGCCAAGAATCTAGGATGACCTTGCAGTAGTTTTTGGACACAGAATAGTGTTAACCTATCCCTTTGTCCAGCTGCAGTGAGAATTGCTGTGGTCCTTGCACATTGATTGGGCACTAGCATTATGTGACGCACTGCATGGCTTAGTCCTAGAGATTCATACTCCTAGATGTACTCATAGGTGGAGTTATACACCTACTTTTATACACGCTCCCTTATTTTCTTTATACCATGCAGCTGTACACACACATAATACAAAATTACAACATGTTCTGGACTTCTTATCATGGCCTTGTACAAGAGAAGTTTTGTCATTCATTCATTGTCTCTTTTTCTGGAAACATTTATGGCTTTTTACCAGCTTAGAAGTAAAAGTTTATTTCTGTGACTCAGATCACCTTACGAGATTGAAGTGACCATTTAATAAGATGTAGTATGTGGAGGAGCCTAGCTCTGTGCCTCTTTTATGGCTGGCTGTCAATTAACATTAGTTTCTTTCCTCTAAGATTAGACCATATACTCTCAGCAAACATGTTAAATGCCCTGTTCAGACTGAAATGATTTAAATTTGATTTTCTCATTTCAGCTGATCGCATGAACAGACTCCAGGCAGCTCTTGCCAGCACCCAGCAGTTCCAGCAAATGTTCGATGAGCTTAGAACCTGGTTGGATGACAAACAAAGCCAGCAAGCAAAAAACTGCCCAATTTCTGCAAAATTGGAACGGCTACAGTCTCAGCTACAGGAGAATGAAGAGTTTCAGAAGAGCCTGAACCAACACAGTGGCTCCTATGAGGTGATTGTGGCTGAAGGAGAATCCCTGCTTCTTTCTGTACCTCCTGGAGAAGAGAAAAAGACTTTACAAAACCAGTTGGTTGAGCTCAAGAGCCATTGGGAAGAGCTTAGTAAAAAAACTGCAGACAGACAGTCCAGGCTCAAGGACTGTTTGCAGAAAGCTCAGAAATATCAGTGGCATGTGGGAGACCTCATGCCGTGGATAGAAGATTGTAAGGCCAAGATGTCTGATTTGCGGGTCACTCTGGATCCAGTGCAGCTAGAGTCCAGTCTCCTGAGAGCAAAAGCTATGCTGAGTGAGGTAGAAAAGCGCCGTGCCCTGCTGGAAATATTGAACAATGCTGCTGACATTCTGATCAATTCTTCAGAAACAGATGAGGATGATATCCGAGATGAGAAGGCTGGGATCAACCAGAACATGGATTCGGTTACAGAGGAGCTACAGGCCAAAGCAGGGTCACTTGAAGAAATGACCCAGAGGCTCAAGGAGTTCCAGGAGAGCTTTAAGAATATTGAAAAGAAAGTGGAAGGGGCCAAACACCAACTTGAGATCTTGGATGCTCTCGGCTCTCAGGCTTGTAGCAACAAGAACCTGGAGAAGCTAAGAGCCCAACAGGAAGTGCTCCAGGCCCTGGAGCCTCAGGTGGACTATCTGAGGAACTTCACTCGGGGCCTGGTAGAAGATGCCCCAGATGGATCTGATGCCTCCCAACTTCTACATCAAGCTGAGGTGGCCCAGCAAGAGTTCCTCGAAGTGAAGCAAAGAGTGAACAGTGGTTGCATGACGATGGAAAACAAGCTGGAGGGGATTGGCCAGTTTCACTGCCGAGTCCGAGAGATGTTTTCTCAGTTGGCAGACCTGGACGATGAGCTAGATGGCATGGGTGCTATCGGCAGAGACACTGACAGTCTCCAGTCCCAAATTGAGGATGTACGGCTGTTCCTTAACAAAATCCAAGCCCTCAAGTTAGACATAGAGGCCTCTGAAGCCGAGTGCCGACACATGCTGGAGGAAGAGGGCACTCTGGACTTGCTAGGTCTTAAGAGGGAGCTGGAAGCCCTAAACAAACAGTGTGGGAAACTGACAGAGAGGAGCAAAGCTCGGCAAGAGCAGCTGGAACTGACACTGGGCCGTGTGGAGGACTTCTACAGGACACTGAAAGTACTCAGTGACATGACCACTGCGGCAGAAGAGGGAGAGGCCCTCCAGTGGGTAGTGGGGACCGAAGTGGATATCATCAACCAACAACTAGCAGACTTTAAAGTAAGTCTTGCCCTTGTTTTTAATTTTTTTCCTGCCTAATAATGTGTATGTCTTAAGAACCGATTGAGCCTACCTCTTACTTCTGTCCCTGGTTTCATTAGTCTCACTTCCATCACCATGAAAGCATACTTTTTGGAGACTGTAAACAGTCTCTTGGACTTTGAGCAGCTGGTTTGAGCATTTTTCTATTATAATTTATTTCAGTGTTTATAACCAATTATGTGTACATAAAGAAATGTCCAAATCTTATTTTTTACTCTAAGATTCTCTCTGATGAGATTCTGGAGATTTCAAATTAGCTGATTTTTATAATAGCAGTAAATGTTTTTCTTCAGGTTCCTTTTTTTCAAATTGAGGTATGAGAAGACATGAGATAAATATGGGCTCATCCTCCTAAAGTGTTGATTTTTTGCCCCACAGATTTCAAGGGAAAATTATTGATGTATTATTGATGTATTGTAGAATAAAATGCAAAATTCTCATGAATTATTAAGATAAAACATGACACTTCAAAGAAATTTTCCACTTCTAGCAAGTAGCTTAAATCTACACCCCAGACTCCTCAAGCACAACTTCTCTGCCTATAGGAGAGTTTGAGATGCATGCATTGCCTTAATTGCAGGAATAGATTAATTCTGTGCCTGAGTCCTGAGATTGTGTAAATGTAGTTTAACTAAAACAACAGGGGAAGGTAAGAGGACTGACTCAAAGTGCAAGTTTGCTGGGCCTGGGTCTTGGAACTCGGAACTCTTTGGGTCTTGGCTCTCATTGCATGAGCCTTTTACCCCAAGGGTTTGCTTTGTTGTAAATATCTAAAAGTGCCTCACTGCTCTGCCTGAGGCCTCTCTGCTCCTGTTTCTTTGATGCATGGAGTAGATTTGGAAAGGATACTACTTCCAGCACCTTATTTCCATCACTAGCGTTTTTTTCCCCCACTTACATAGTTAACATTCCTGCCATCAGAGTTAAGTTGGTCTCTCAGATCTCTTTCCTGCCAGGATTCTTTCTATTAAAAACATAGATGGAGAGGTGATGTTGTCACCAGGTCAGAGCCACGTGGTCCTGAGAACGATCACAAATTTGTAGAAAGATCCAAGTGCAGAAAGTTGGCTGTTTCAGAAGGGCCCCTCTAGGAGTTTACGGTATATTCAGCACTAAAGTGAGGCGTTGGCTAAAGGCCCTTTACCATGTTTGGAAATAGTGCAGTTTGGAGCAACCCAAGTCGTATTTGGGTTTCTTGAGGCACCCAAATAAGGAAAGGGGAGGGAGAGAAAATTCAAACCCACGAGCCCACGTTTTCCTCTTAGGAACTCCCACACCTCTGTTCCAGGGGCAGGTGGCCTTCCCTGCTTCAGCACGGGCCATTTCCTTTCCTCTCCCACCGTCAGGTCCTCCAAGCAGGCTCTTCTCCAGGCACACTTCACTGATCCAATTTACTCGGATCCAGTTACTTAGATTTAACTGTCTGACCAACTAAATGGATTTCTTAGAAAACCGAAGCTTATCCCTGTTGACTTCCAAATAGTTTTATCACCTAGATTCTGGTTTATATGGGGGTTATTTTAAATTGTATTTGCCATATTTTCGAAATACTATATTGTGCATAAGTTTGTCTTGATGAGCGCAGATTAACTTTACTAAAAAGATGACCCTGTTCTCTGCTATGGTGATTCTTCAGGAATATCAGAGCCGTTTGAGGCTGCTTTGTATTCATGTTCTGCATTACTGTGCACTTTGAGTGCTGTATGGGAGGTCTTGTTTAGGGCCCCTACGTTGTTGTACTGATTAGGTTGGAGGTGTGTGTCTATGTGTGGGGGCAGCGTGCAGTTTCTGGGTTTTCCCCATTACCGTGATATCAGGTATTATTTCTACTGCTGTCACTTTTCACCGCTGTCACTGGGCCTGCCTTTAGCAACCTGCCCCCTTCCTTCTAATCTTCAGTGAGCTAGAAAATGAAGTAAACAATTAACAAGCCTGTTAAAATTGCATTAAATACAAGCTAGAATTTTAAAAAGAGTTCAAAGGCAGGCATATATAGTGTTTGGATTTAAGAACAAGTTATCATTGTCTTTTCATTTAATCCTGGGTTTCTAGAGATATTCTGAATTTTTCAGTAACTACTGGGCAGACTATTTTCAGGAATTACTGGGCAGTACCATGTTTTATTTGTGTCCTAGCATGCTTCCTGGTAGTGCGCAGAGTTCAGTAGCTGCTTAGTCGCTTGTTACAGCAGTCCTATTTCCCTGGCTTCTAAGAATACGTCCCCCACCACCAGTACTATGGATGTGAAGGCTGGGACCAGACACAGATCAGCTGGGCACCTGCGCAGGGAGTTTATCTGCAGGGGACTGGTGTTGACAAGGCAAGACTGGAGGAAGAAGGGAGGTGTGCCCTGTGTCTGTCTTCCTCAAGGTGCAGGCGCACATTGGGAGCCCGCTTCCACCTTATAAAGTCAAGGGCTTTGGGAGTTTTGCCTCCTCCCAGCAAAGGCCTTTGGTCCAGAGGGGAGGAGTGCACCTCCCGGCTTAGTTCATACTGAGCTCATGGGAAGTGAAAACAATGAGAGGGGAAAAAGCTCTGTGTCAGTTCTCCAGGTCCCTAGGGGCTGAGTAAAGGGAAGGTCTTGTCTTCTTGGACCCATTCTGAGGCCTGAGTCATTTTCATGGTGTGAGTGTTGAGCTCCTGGGTTAATGTGCAGCAGTAGATTAACCTTCCCTCACACCAGGTTCATAAAGTGTGAGTGCTTTCAGATTCAGACTGTTTTAAATAAGGACAAAACAGAGATGAGGATAAACGTTTAAAAAACATCATTTGCTTTAAGTTTTCAGTTCCTTTCTTTTTATAATGGGATCATGCTCTCAACACAGAATCTGCGGAAGGAAAGAGGATATGAATCTGTGAGACAGAAATGTGGGCTCTGCTTTGTCCTAGCTAACTCCACAGGGGGCAGATGGAATAGACAGATGAGTCAAGTCTGTGGAGAACCTCAGGCTTACTTGGGACTATGCAATCTGCTGATAAATGCATGGAGAGGCAGTTAGCCTGTGGGAAAAACCATGTCCTCCCTGGACAAACGTGAAAAGCCGAAAGTCCTTATTCCTAGGAAAGGCTTTTCCCTCGATTGCTTCTGAATAATGGATAGAATCTGGTCAGCTGTGAGGATCCATCAAATGGGAATGGAAGAGAGTCCTTCTCCAATCTAAATAGGCAAAGACCTCAGGGCACTTTACTGTGTTCAGCTGTCTGTTGGAAGTTGTTAAAAAAAAAAAGAACAACCATTCTAGAAATCACAAATGAGAATATTGAGCATGTTTTCAGAAAACTGGAAGGAAAAGACTTTGTCTTAATCTTTTCAGGAAATTCCGTTTTCCTGAACAAGAGTCTCTGATTATTGAGGAAAAGGAATTGTATGTACATAGCAGGAGACTAACAAGAAAGGAGGGACCTTTATTTCACTGAAACGTAAGCCAAAGAATTCCGCCAGGGTGAACTTTCTGGAAAGGGTAAAAAAAGACTTGAAATCTGGAGAAGTCTATTAAGTCTGAAAATAACAAGAGGCTTTCCTCATTTTGGAATTCTCCCTATGTGGGTGTTGTAGTGAAGACTTGAGATCATTCTGAATCTTGACTCCTCTGCACCCGCCTCGTGAACCAGCCTGGCCTTTCAGTCTGAAAGTATGTGGCGGTGGTGGCGATGGTGGCGGTGGTGGCGGCAGTGGCTGCCTGCTGGTGAGCAGCATCAAGAAACCTGGATGCACCTTCATGTGCTCTGTACTTCATATGTATTTATATTTACTGTGTACTCAGGCCAGGCTTCAGACTCACGGTACCACCTAAACAAGAAAAAACAAGTGGGAAAAACAGAAACCTTTTTAGGGTCCATAGGTTTCTTACAGAGGTTCACTTCACCCGTTGTTGGTGCATTTGAAGCCTCTAAGCCAGTCGGCCTTTTCCTTCCTTGTCATTGAGGTTGGGCTGGCGGGCTAGAGGTGAGGCAGGCCTCCCTAGGACTGTTCTCTGTCCTAATTCAGGTTGCGCAGAGGCCAGGGCTGGAGACTGCATATGCTTTCAGCTTCTACGTGGAGACCTCAGAGGTATCCTAATATGAAGCCAGAACAAGGAAGCCCTGTAAACCTCCTCATTTGATATTTGTCTTGTGGAAAGCAAGTTTAGGCTTCCCTGTGAGCACATGGGAAAACTCATAGAAGACAGATCCTGACATGGAGCTGAAAGACTGCCAATTTGCACAAAGATCCTTCTTCCTTTCAAATAATTACAAAGTGTCAGTATCAGCCCATCTAAGATTTTACCAGTTAGGTTCATTAGAGAATAAAGCAAATGAGGTCAGCATTATCTATCTACCTGCCCTTGGAAATAAAGGAAATCACACTTGGTATGACCTGTCACCTGGAGGTTTGGGCTATCTCCGGTTTTATAGCAGCCAAGGTAAGCTGAGTAGGCACCCCCACCCCTGCCTGCGCTGACCTTTGGCTTGGCTTTTTGGGGTGTTTTTGTTTTTGTTTTCCTTCCTTAAACAAGGCTACTCCAATAGTAACTACTAGGTTCCAAGGACAGAAGAAGAATTCCCTAGAACGGGTTTTCTCAATCTTGGCACTCTTGACATTTTTGGCTGGATAATTCTTTGTTGTTGGATAGCTGTGCCGCGCATCATAGAATGTTTACCAGCATCCCTGATCTCCACCCACTAGATGCCAGTAGCAACCCTTCCTCAGTGTGACAACCAAAAATGTCTCTAGACCTTGCCACATGTCCCCTGGAAGGCAAAAATCTCCCTCGGTTGAGAACCACTGCCCTAGAAGAAAATCGCCATCTATATGTGGGACACTTAGGATTCAATTGGAAAAAGTGCTCATTGATTAAGTGAAATATTTATGTAGCAAGCAGCCTTTTGATGATCTGATTATGTGTGTGTGGTAGCCACAACTGCCTCTAAGTCAGCCTTTCTTTAGGCCAGGCCCTGGATGCTTTGTTTTTGCTGGT